GCAGGACCAGATATGGGGGCAGAGGCTGGGCCAGGTGTGATGGGGTGTCAGGGATGGAAAAAGGGACAGTGGCAGGGTTGTGGGGGTGGTGGGTTGAACGAGCAGATGGGTACGGTTCTGGCTGACTGGAGGCTAGAGCTTCCTCCCATTCCCTTCCCTGCCTCCCTCCCCCACCTCCCCTCAGGACCCCCGTCCCCCTCCCCAAAGGTCCGCCCACCTCTCCTGAGGGGCCTCACCGTTCCTGCAGGCCTCCCCACCTACCCTCAGGGCTCCTCTCTCCCTCCCCCCAGGATCCCACCCACCTCCCCTCAGGGCCCCCACCCTCCCCGCAGGGCGCCCCACTCCACATCCAGGAGGAAGCTGGGCCCCAACCTCCCAGAGCCCAGATAGCTGAGGCCCGTCGGGTGACCTGTATCCACAGTCTTCAGGAAGTACTACTATGGCCACCACTTGGACGACTACTACACGGGGAAGACTGCATCCCTGGTGAGCCTGCTGGGCCCCAACACCAGCCTCCACGCCGACCTCAACACCAGCCTCCATGCCGACCTCAACACCAGCCTCCTGACCAGACTGCCGGAGCTGACAACAGAGGCCAGCCATGTGCACACGGGCCGGGACACTGCTGTGCTCAGTCTCCTCATCATGCTGGGCACACTCTGGCTGGGCTACACCCTCTACCAGTTCAGGAGGCGGTGAGGGGGCCTAGGGGTAGCGAGAGGGACCCACAGCCCCCAGACCGAGGCTGACATCTCCCTTTGTCTCCAGCCCCTACCTGCACCCCTACGTGCGGGAGATCCTGTCAGACCTGGCCCTGCCCATCGCGGTGCTCACCTTCTCCCTCATTGCCTCCTACGGCTTCCAGGAAATAGAGAGTGAGTTAGGAGCAGGTGGGTGGTGGGCTCTCTGGGAGGGGTCAGGACTGAGCAGGAACTTGTGCCCCGCTGCAGTGTCCAAGTTCCGCTACAACCCCAGAGAGAATCTGTTTGAGATGGCCCAGATGGACTTGCTGTCCCCGGAGGCCATCAGCAGTGCCATGGGCCTCGGCTTCCTGCTCTCCATGCTCTTCTTCATCGAGCAGAACCTGGTGGCTGCCTTGGCTAATGCACCAGAGAACAGGTACCTCACTGGAGCTGGAGCGGGAGGGGGTGCCCAGCCCTGCAGGGGGCCAACGAGACCGTGCCCACATGGGCCGCCATCTGCCGCAGGCTGGTGAAGGGCACTGCCTACCACTGGGACCTCCTGCTCATCGCTCTCATCAACACCGGGCTATCTCTGTTCGGGCTGCCCTGGATCCACGCCGCCTACCCCCACTCCCCGCTGCATGTGCGGGCCCTGGCGTTTGTGGAGGAGCGTGTGGAGCACGGGCACATTTATGAGACGTGAGTGTGAGATCTGGGGTGGGAGCCACAGGGATGTGGCTCAGGAGCAGGACCCAGACGTGACCCGCTGCCCTGGGACCATGCAGGATCGTGAGTGTGAAGGAGACGCGGTTGACCTCACTGGGCGCCAGCATCCTGGTGGGCCTCTCGCTGCTCCTGCTGCCCTTCCCGCTGCAGTGGATCCCCAAGCCCGTGCTCTACGGCCTCTTCCTCTACATCGCCCTCACCTCCATCGACTGCAACCAGCTCTTCGAGCGAGTGGCCCTGCTGCTCAAGGAGCAGGTGGGTGCCTGGCCCTGGAGGGAGTGTGGGGGGTACAGCCCCACACCTCGCCACACCTTCTCCCTGCCACCCACAGACTGCATACCCACCCACGCACTACATCCGGAGAGTGCCCCAGAGGCAGATCCACTACTTCACAGGCCTGCAGGTCCTGCAGCTGCTGCTGCTCTGTGTCTTTGGCATGAGTCCCCTGCCCTACATGAAGATGATCTTTCCCCTCATCATGATTATCATGGTTCCCATCCGGTACAGACGGGCAGACGGCAGGCAGGAGGGCCCAGCCTGGCCCTATGGGTGGGAGAGTGGGCAGGCTGGGGGTTGCAGTGGGCAGGAGGGGCCCACCTTGGCCTGTGGGTGGGCTTGGGGGGGCACGCCTACTGCCTTCTCCTTTTCTGACCCAATGCTCATCCTTCTGCTCCTCCCCTCACCCAGCTACAACCTGCTGCCCCGAATCATTGAAGCCAAATACCTGGATGCCATGGATGCAGAGCACTGAGGCCCCCAACTGGCAGGCCCTGGCCACGCCCCTTCGCTCGTCCCTCGCCGTCCTCCCAGGCTGGCTCTGTTGGCTGTGTGGGGAGGTGTGGGTGTCTTTGGGGTATTGCTCTGTGCTGCGCCCTCTCACAACTGCCAGACAGGCCTGGGGCATCTGGGCATGGTGGGGTTTATTGGTGTGTGACCACCCTTCTCCCCATTAGCCTTTTGCTTTGGTAGGGAACACTGCTCAGGGCAGCTTCCCCCAGGGTGGGACTAAGCAGGACAGATTTTCTTTTGATAAAAGAGTCCATGCCTGAAAGAGAAACCATTTCCTTGATTGTGTAAGGAATTCGCTGTATGCACATTAGAGAATAAAGCTCCTGTTTCTATGCTTCTACGTGCCACCTCCATCCCTGCTGCCCCACCCCAGCCTCTGAAGGCTGCCTCAGGGCCCCGGGGAGGGGAAATGGAATAAAAGGGCCCCCCTTTGTTGAGTGCCACCTGTGGGCTGTCATCTCCAGTCCCTCCCGGTCGATGCTGGCCCAGTAGTACACCATGCAGTCTGGTGGGGAAGACGGCAGAACCAAGAGGCTTTTGCACTGCTGTGTGGCCAGGGACTCGCAGAACTGTTCCAGGAACAGCATATGCAGAGGACCAGAGAGGTGAGAGGGCTGGGGCCTGGGGAGTCATGGCTGCTGGCAGAGTGTCTGCCTGGGGAGATCAGGGCTGAGAGTGATGGGCCCTGTGACTATCAGATAAAAGCTGCTGAGGAGCCAAATGAAAGACTGAAGACAGACACATGGTAGGGTCAGAGCGGAAGTTTTGAACAGATAATAGTAGTAGTTTTACACAGATAATGCATGGGTTGTTTTTTTGCCAATCGTGCAACCCTCTTGCATATTATTTTCCTAGGTGTGTGTGTTATGTGTGTGGGTGTGTTATTTATGTGGGCGTGTTATTTGTGGAAAACTATGATATCTGTCTACTGTGTGGACCTTTTATACATATGGGAGGGTTGTACCCTGGACCAGGGCAGAGATGGTGTGATGAGGATGGAGGGAAGCAGAATTCCAGATGGCAGGACATGGGGTTGATTTGATGGAGCGGAGAAGGTGCAGTGTTTCTGGCTTGGGCATTTGGTGACTGGCAAGGGTCCATGATGATACCAGCTGGAAGCATGTGTCTGGGGCTCAGAGGATTGCCCCCTGTGCATATCTGGTAGCAGCAGTGGGCAGAAGCACGTGCTCACAGACACCCTAAAGGACACTGGCTTGACAAATGCACCACAGACCGAGGTTAACAGACAAAGGAAAGCATTTGCTACATCTAAAACTGAAAAGATAGCACCCCAACAGAAAAGAGGCAGACTGTGAACGGGTATTTTACAGAAGGGGGTGCCCAAAAGGACACAGAAGTGGCAAGAGATGCTGCATCAAACTCCTTGGTAATCAGAGAAATGCAAGCCCCAGCCATGAATCACCATATACTTGGGAGACTGGCAAGAATTAGAAGGCTGGATGGTGCAGGGACAATGGGAGATAGGAAACCCTGTGCACTGATGGGGAAAAGGACAACTGTACCCTTCAACCAAGCAATTCTGCCCCTGGGCAGGTGGGGTGACCACAAGGATATTCTCAACAGATGGGTAGCAAAAGTTAGGATAGAACTTGGGGAGAAGCAGCAAACTCAAAGCAGTGTCCTGGCCCACTACCCTACCCACACGCCATGTGCTTCTTCAGGGCCCCTCCCTGGTAGCCTGGGCCTTCCCTGCAGGTGAGGCCATGGCCAGACCCACCAGGCCCGGAGCAGGAAGGCCCCAGCCACCCCATGTCTGAGCCCCGGCAGACATCACACGCCTACCAAGGAAACCACCCAGAGGAGGCTGGCCCAATGCACTGGCACTTTCTGGGGAAACAACCCAGCTGGGCCTCACAGGCAAGAGAGGCAAAAGGGTGATTTCCTGCCCTTGCCGCATGCATTAATACAGTTTAGGGGAGGAAACGGTCCTCACAGCCTGCAGACCCAGGCCCTGGGCCATCTTGCCAGGATTGAGAACAGTGGCTGGAGATGAAGTTCTCCAGAGTTGCCTGTGAGCACAGATGGAAGCCTGGGAGGGACCCCCAGCATTCAAGGGCACCTGCCCTGACCTGCTGAACACAATAGGCTTTTCTGTCCTCAGGGCTGGGCACGTCCTACCAGAAGCATCACCAGCGGGAAAGGCAAAGGAGCCACCGTGGGCCCCTGAAGTTCCTCCCATGGAATGGCTCCTCACCAAGGCACAGTGAGGGTCTGGGGCACCTTACCCAGGCCTCCTGAGGGGCCTGAAGCCCCCTGGCTCAACTATGGCATGTCAACCCAACTGGGGTCAAAGACTCATTCCCACCCTGCCCATACACACAAAGCCATAAAAATGAACTTGGCTTTATGATCGTAAGCCAGCATTTTAGCTGCTCTTGATAAAACAGTGTAAAGCAAAAGCACCGTACATCCCACACTGCCCACCCCCTCACACCTCCCTCCCCCACCCCAGAACCAAGACCACGAAGGTCAGCGTAGCATCACCAGATCAGTGAGTGGACAGCAGACCTGGCATGGAAAAGGTCAGCCCACGATCTGAGACTTGAAGAATTTGTAAGACTGCAGGTGGAGAAGATGTAACACTCCAGCTAGCAAGGGCGCACAAGCACTCTCAAGACACAGTGCTACCCTTGTCTGCCCACCCACACCCCACCTGAAAGGCCTCCCGCCACCTGCCAAAACGGGCTCAGGAGACAGGCATCTGCCCAGGGCAGGTTTCAAAAAGCAGATGAATCCAGTTTACTTTGGAAGCAAGAAACTTCCAGAATTTTTATTTGCTGCACGTGAAAAATACCTCCTTGCATGATTCTCCCCCAAACCCTAAATCCTGCCGAGGCCAGTTTTATCATCCAAGGTCTTGTCAGGATCCTAGGCAAGAAGGCTGTGGGGTAGGGCACTGAGTCGCAAGACAAGAGAAATGGTGTCCCCTGCCCAAAGTTTCTCCAAGCAGAGCCAGCTGCTCCTTCAGACAGGACTGGCGAAGCTGTCTCAACACCCCAAGGAAGCGGTAACCCTAAAGGAAATGCCTTGAGGGGTACCTGCTGATGGGAGAAGTTTCAGGCTAGTTCTCCCCGGATCCCAGGCCTGAGGGGCTTCCTCTGGCCCCAGGGAGAGTCAAGCTGTCAAAGTATTCCTGCAGCTCATGCAGGGCCCGGAAGCGATGGGAGATGGCGTTCTTCTCAGCCTTGGGCATCTCTGCGTACCTAAAGGGTGACAAGCAGCAGCTCAGGGAGAAGGGAAGCCAGGTTCAAGGAAGACGTGTACCCCACTCAAGCCCAAAGCTCAAGGAGTACCCAGGGAAGGGTAGCAGGGCCACAGCACCTGGCAGCCTAAGTTGTTTCTGAAACTGGGATAGAATTTTAAATTCCGCTGTAGAGTAGGAACCCATATTAGCAAGCCTGGAGGAATGTTAAACTTATTCTACTGTGTCCAAAACTCATTAAGGGAAGCTGGGAACAGGGGATGAGCTGATGTTTGATCAGCTTTGTCATCTGTTGACAGGAAGCAGCAGGGCCTGACAGAGCAAACACAGCAGCCTCCTCTAATGCATGGAGGTGGGGGACCTGGACAGCAGGCCAGTGGCCTGTCTTCCATGCCAGGACCCCAGTTGAGTTGAGAATCCCAAACCCCACCTGTGCATTTCAGATCTGCACTGTCCAGTACAGTAGCCACTACCCACACGTAGCTATTTAACGGAATTAAAATGGAATAAACATAAACTCAGTTCCTCAGTTGCACAAACCACATTTCAGGTGTTCCACAGCCACATGTGAGTGAGTACTGGCTACTGTATTAGTGTAGATACAGAACATTTATGTCATCAAGAACATTCTCAGACAGCACTGCTTCACAGCCACCTGACTATTGTGCGGCCTCAGGCCATGCTTCCTGAGGGCCCCTCCAGCCTGGAAGGCCTCTGATTCCAATACTAGCTGATGTGTCTCATGCAATTAAGGGGTGGTCAGTACGAAACACTGAGAACGTGTGGCACTCATCGGGGTTTAATGTCGTGCCCACCAAAGGCTGCAAAACTGTTAACATTTTTTGAAACTAGATGAAAGGGGAGTCAGAAAATCATCCCACATAACGACTGGTTTACACATAACCAGCCAAGGCTAGAGAGAAACCACTGAAGCCAGACAGCCCTGGCCTCCCAGCTACGCCTGGCTGCCTCCCCCACCGTCACTGGGCCACCCAGATTCCTTGTGTCCACCCCAGCAGAGCCTCCTTCTGCTGGAACGGCACCCTCAGAGCCTGCCCCAACCCATATCTGCATGCTTGCACTTGGGCGGGGTGCGGACCCAACCCAGACCATGTCTAGTCTGACCTCACATCCCAGGGGCTTACGTCTGCTCGTATCCATCAGGCTGAAAGCAGGGGTCCCAGCCAAAGTCCCGGCAGCCTCGGGGCACCACAATCTGGCCCTGCCATAGGAAAAGGGGACAACAGGTATGTCACTGGACATAGAAGACATGCACTAGAAAGCCAGCAGGCGGTGGGTTTGGTTATTTGTGAATTTGGTTAAACCCTATTTACTCAAAATGATGGATTCAAGGGACCCTTGAGTGAGTACAAATGTTTGCTGAAGTCCTAAATAAAATACAGAGTAGGAAGCGCTCTCCCCTCACATAGAAGAACCACATCCCTGATCAGTCCACCGGCTTCCCCGGGTCCACATCTTTAAACTATGACCTCACTGAAGAATTCAAAAACTGACAATAACCATTTTCTCCTAACAGGAACTTGAGGGCTCTGACCTTTGCAGACAAGTCCTATGCCTGCTACTATTACAGCATTTCTCAAAGGACAAGGGAGGCTACAACAATTAAATACAATGACAGTGACCCACACGTAAATGAGCTAAGTTAAATATTGGCTCTAACAGGCAAATTCCAATGTGAAAATGTTATGAACAGAACAAATTATAGTCCAGTGTCATGAAATGTCATGTTGCCATGAAAATGAAAATAAGCCTAACTTGGAAGTGGAAAAGGACAGGGATTAGTCACATAATGCCAAATCGATCAGCCCCAAATGCAAATCCAGCTTCTGCTAGTGGGAAGGTGTAACCAAGGCCAGCAATTGAACCACTCTGGACCTCACTCCTGTAACAAATGTTTTTTGAGCAACTACAACGATCCAGGTGCTGTTTTCAGCGCTGAGGAAACACAAGGCCTAGCCTTGCCCTCACAGAATGGATCATTTCTTGAGCAAAATAGGCTTTAAGCCAGGAAACAAATTAACAGCTACCAAATGTAAAGTGCCTTAAAGAGAATAGACAGGGTGCTCAGTTTGATGGCAACAGGAGGGACTGACTTAGGTGGGGAGGTCAGGGAAGACCTCAGCGAGGACACTTTGACTTCATAAAGGGCTGGGTCAAGAACATTCCAGGTGGACGACACAGCTGGTGCCAAGGTCCGGAGATGGGGAAAGGCTTGGCATAGCTGAGTGGCAGAAAGGACAATGTAGTTGGGGCTTAGGCAGCACAGGTGAGAACAGAACGAACAAACAGGCTGCCTCAGAGGAAGTGGGGCAAGCAACAAAAACGCGTGAAGCAGCCAAAGTTGGGGAAACAACGGGATGGTGGGAACATAGTGACACAGGCCCCATCAACAGGGCAGCTGCTACTCAGCCATTATGCAGGAAGCTGGGCCTGTGGCTGTTTGAGCTTCTGATTTTTTAAGAGAAGTGGACATTTCTGTGAAGGTAGCAGACAACTAAGTTTTAAAATTTTAACCTGGCAGGGCAAAATGAAACATCTGTGTACAGCCCCCAGTGGAGCCTCTAGCGTAGGGCTTTGGTCACTATGGTGAGGACATGGGTCTTATCCTGAGCAGAGCAGGAAGCCAGGGAAGGGTCTGAGCAGAGTGATATGCCACTGGGAGAGAATGGATAGGATGTGAGGGAGAGCAGGCCAGCTGGGAGGATGGTCTGGACCCTCTGAGAAACAGATGAACCCAAGGGTCTGGTAGGTGGGGGTGGGTGGGGAGTACTGAAAAACATCTAGGGAAGAATTAAGATTCTATACAGTCGGAAGGGCCATGAAACAGCTAAGGGAAGCTGGAGCCTTAGCAGCTGGATAAAGAGACTGGAGGTCTGGGCTGTAGATGTAGCTTTGGGAGTTGTCACCTTTAATTTCCAAACTAGCCTCCCAGGAGGGCGTGGGTGCCAGAGGTTCTGGGTATGTTAACTCTCACCAGTTGTTACCATAGTAATGGTTTCCTGAAACATCCACTCCAGGGGCCAAATAGATTTCAGGACTGACAGCACTTCTGATTGTGGTCTGCAAGCAAGCCTCTCAGTAAAGCCCTGGTACTAATTAATTAACTCTGGCTGCAGGGGCCCTTACACCACCATCCTGCTGAAGACCCTGGAGCATCTGCTCCAAGTCGCAGCTCCCTCTGGTGACATGTGGGGGTATGGCATCCGGGTGGGTGGACACAAGTGGGTTCTCACCAAGGTCCGGCCCCTGAAAAGGCGCACAGGCTCACTGGGGTCCCCAGTGCTGAACGCGATCGTGCAGAGTGCATAGGCCGACTTGTCTTCAAACCCGGCCAGGAGCTGGTGGAGACCTGTGGGCAGGTACAGTGAGGGCTCAGCTCACAGTCAGTGCTGCCCAGCAATCCCCACTACCACCAAGGAGAAGCCCACCACGGGTGGAGAGGGAGGTCCCCAACAAGGGGCTGAGGCAGGACAGGAACTGGGTTTGAAAGTGAAGGCTCTAAGTATACACACTTCCCTCTAGCACAAGCTGATTTGCTAGAAATCAGAAAATCAGCCAAATGCCATGGAAATCTCAACACTGACTGGCTGTGTTAATAATATTAAGAAATTACTGGTAATTATTTTAGTTAACGAGAGTATGTTGTTATTGGCCCACAACTCATGGCAACCCCATGCACAACAGTATCAAACCACTGTGAGCCATAGGATTTCTGTTGGCTGATTTTTAAGAAGTTGATCATCAGGCCTTTCTTCCTAGTCTGTCTTAGTCTGGAAGCTCCACTGAAACCTGTTCAGCATCATAGCAACATGCAAGCCTCCACTGACGGGTGGGTGGTGGCTGCACTTCAAGTGCACTGGCCAGGAACTGAACCCGGGTTTCCTGTATGGAAGATGAGAATTCTACCACTGAAGCCACCACTGCCCCCAACAGTACCATAATTATTAAAATTTTCGTTATCTTTTAAAGATACAGGCTGAAGAACTTACACATGATAGAAGTCTGAGATTTGCTTTAAAATAATGGGCTGGTGGGGGGGATTGAAGAGGGATTATAGACACAAGATGGGCTTTGTTGCTGACAACTCTGGAAGCTGGGTAATGAGGACATGAGAATTCCTTTTACTGTTCTACTATGGTATACATTTGAAATGTTCTGTAATATAAAGTGTCTGTGAAAGCACCTAAAAAGGGAACACTCTGCCCTGCAACTGTGGGTGACAGGGTATGTACTACTGGGGCCCAGGAAGAGGCAGTACCCTGGTCCCAGGCCAGGCCAGGCCCTGGCTGAGACAATGATATGCCAGTGGCCACTTGGGCCACGGCCCTCTCAGAGACCTAGAATCAACTAAATGCCTTTGTGCCTCCAACTCACAGCCCCCTCAACCTCACCCCCATCCACTCCTTCCACATCTCTGTGTCCCCTGGAGGCAGGCAAGCAGGAAAGGTGTGAGCCGCAGGTTACAGATGGGAAATGGAGGTGAAGGGGCCCCAGGACAGGGGCTGAAACCTGGATCTCCTGGTTAATTGAGGCCCCTTCCCTAGACGATCCCCAGATTCCCAACAGATCCAAGGCAAGGGACAAAGGGGGGTAATACCTTCAGGCTTTAACTTCTCCAGAAACCACTTTCTGCAAGAGAAATAAAGGAGGGTCAAACACAGAAGCACATGGGTCCTCCTACCAACCTCTCTAGGTCGTACCCTGTGGGGATTAGAGCCCAAAGACAGCCAAAGGGAAATGATAAAGACAGCCTCAAATGAAAATGAAGGGAAATACCCAAAAGGAAACAAGGAAACGGAGGCCAAGAGGCAATTCATAGGAGAAAAACTGATAAACAAATGAAGGCTTCAACCTCACTGGTAATGAGGGAAATGCAAAATAAAACCCTACTTGATCATTTCACACTCAGCAAATTGCTGAATACTAAAAAACCGTAAAGTTCAGTGCTGCCAAGGATGTGCAGTGATGGAGACGCCAGTGTGCTGTGGGGGGAAGTATATACAGGTGCCATCTCCTTGGCAAACAAACTGGCAATCGAAAAATTAAAGACAAACATATCCAAAACCCAGGAACAGCACTTCTGTATATATAACCCCAAGCCCCATGCAAGAGTCTTCGAATTAGGGTATGTGTACTCTAAAGACACAAAAAGACCTTTTAAGGGGGTCCAGGGCACTAGATAGTTTTAAGGAAATCAATTTTCAGATCTTAACTTCCTTATTTCCTCCTTCCTGAAATTGATCTGCCCACGAATGTACCTCTCAAACAAGTGGGTCTTCTTTCCTTTATCTACTTATACAATGGCATTCTCACACTTTACAAAAGAAAGGCATGCCTCTCCCCAACCCCTAATCCTTCTTTGGGACAAGGACAATCAGAAACATTGGCACTGATGCCAAGACAGTTAATGACGTGTAACATTAGGTAATCAATCCTTTTGCAGTTCAGGTGGTTTTGTGGCCAGGGCCCTGACAGGGCGTCAGGGACACTCACATGTAGGGGCCAGGAAGTCCCCCGAGGGCATTGAAGCACAGACAGGTATCCTCCACCAGCACAGGCCCCTGCACCTGCAGCACAAGGACATGCAGCCCTGTGGCCCAGGGACCACAGGAGGCCCCATCCCTCCCTGAACTCCCAGGCCACTAGGGCTGGGGCCAGGCCCATGGCTGTTTGGGATCTGAGGTAGCAACACGCGGAGATCCATCAAGAGCCACAGGGAGAGCCCTCAGCTACTCTCTTATCTTCCTTTTAAGAGACAGGGACACCAAAACCTCAGTGGGTTGTAAAATTTGCTCCAGACACAGCAATAGGAGAGCTGAGATTCACACCTAAGCAGCCTGACTCTTCATAAAGTGCTCTTTCTCGGTTCCATCGAGATGCATGAGTACAGGGGCGGATGTGTGTGGGGCAAAGGCAGGGGCTGGAATGTATCTGCGAATTTAGAGAGAAAGAATGCGCATGCACAAGTAGACTTGAGAATTGCAGCGGGGGCGGGGGGGTGCGGGGCAACAGCGTGTAGTCAAGGTTGGAAAAGGAGGGCAGTGTTTGAAGGCCAACATTAACTGACCCTGGCCTAGCTGGGCATGGGCAGGTCCTTGAGTCCCGACCAACCGTGTCCACCCTACTACCCTCTGCCTGTCTCCAGCGAGCACAGGTCCTGGGAGCCATCAGGCCAAGAGGACTAGTGTAGGGCAAGCACCTGGCGAGCCGCCTCCTGACACTTCTGGATGGAAATCTCATCTGGCTCTCCTTGGTACTCTGGCACTTATCAGGGAAACAGACACACAGAGTCAGGTCACGGCAAGACAGAGAAATCGAACCATCTTTTAAAAATAAAACAAAACAGAGACATACGGTCAATTTTCTGAGCCACCAAAGTGCATGGAAACTTATCTCCTAGAATCTGAATGACCTGTTCCAAAACAAAGGACATATATCACCATTGGTTAATGAATGCCCACTATTATGTGAGCTGTCAGCCCACATTTCTCACCAGGTAAGGCTCCTGTAATCCCCTAAAGCTTACCAAGTCAAGCCCACAAGCCTCATTCCAGCCTTTATGGTCCCACCCCAGCAGGTCACCTCCTCCATCTCCTCACTCTCCTGTCCTTCCTACTTCAACTCTCTGCTCATGCTGACCCCCTCCCACAAACACCCTTCTCCCATCTCAATGCTTCCAGAAACCCTACCCATCCTCACAGGCCAGGAATTCTCTATCAGGGGCTATCCAGAATTCACGAGGCCTGTGAAATTGGATAGTGGGGGGGTAAAAAACTATTTTCACTAATCTCTAACTGAAATGTAGCATCTCCTTCAATAACGAACATAGGCGACACACCAAAGTAGTATTAACAGTTCCTGTGAACTTTAAACCTATTAAAATCACAGATGACGTCATATCCAATTACAGTTGTTGCAGATATCTCAAAATATTTACAATCCTATTTTGCTAGGCGGTCCTGGTGGTGGAATGGTTAACAGCTATGGCTGCTAACCAGCCACTCCTTGGAAACCCTATGGGGCAGTTTTCCTCTGTCCTACAGGGTCACTATGAGTCGAATAGACACAACGGCAACGGGGCTTTTTTTGCTATTTTACTAGCTCAAACTCTTTTAATGCATCAATAACATACATGTATACATATCTAAACCTACATATACATATCTAAACCACAAACACATTTGTAGTATCTTGATAATTTTACTTCAATATAATTTATTTCCTTTGTAATCCTATGCATTTTATTGTATACATTTAAAAATATTTTCCTGAGAAGGGGTTCATAGGCTTCACCAGGATGTCAGTGGAGTACGTGGGATGAAAAGAGTTAAAACTCGCTATTCTAGGCCAAGTTCAAGCCCACCTTCTCAAGAGAGGTTCCCCTAGCCACTCCAGCCCCTCCCTTCAATGTGGGAGGGACATGTTTTCAACCAGAGGCAGAGATGGACTTGGGGTCTGGTGCACACTATCCTGCATGGGGCTCACTGGGGTGGCATGTGCTGTCTGCTTCAATGGTCTGGTGGTAGGATCCAAACCTTTTATCAGCACAGGGCTCTGGCTCTGGGGAAGGCCACCCTGGCTTGGCACAGGACACCACTGGTTCTTCTGCTGTGGACAAATGAAGGCTACCCTAACAACTGTACTTCATTAGTCTGCCTCAGACATATCCAGTGGGTGTCATCCCTTCACTTCCCACAGGTAACCCCACTCCACTTCCCAGGCCATGGATCATCGGGCTTCACAAACCCTTGACTGGAGCAGGCCAATCAGAGCTGATGTACAGCAGGAGCATCACTGCACACTCCACCAGGAGATAATGAAGCAGAAAGACCCCAATAGGGGCAGGGATGAGTGTCGGAGTGAGGGATACAAGGGCAGGCCAGCCCCTCACAAGGCTCTTCAGGTCCTGTGGGACACCACATTCTCCCACAAGAATCAGCGGGTGGCTTGGATAAACCCCGTGTGTCTCTGCTACTTGCATCCAAAGAAGCTCCATCAACCCCCAGAATCCTTCCAGTTAGCCACAGTGATGTTGCCCCTGTGGGCAGGAACTTTGGAACCATTGCTTCCTTCACTCCTCTCCATCGCGCTGGGAAGCTTACCTTCCGCATTCTATTTCACAGATGCAAAAAGAGGCTGGGGACCACCTTTCTGACGGTAGTGAAGTATGGGAGGCTTAGTTTGGATACCCATCCCATGCCCTCTCCAGCCCTTCTGGGCCAGCCCCAGAGGGGTGCTGGGGTCCCATTTTGGGATCTAGTTAATTAGGTGACCTTTTGGGACTGGTGCTAAGGGCCCCATCACTCTGGCTTCCACAGCCCTTGACCTCCCAGGCCCTGTGTCCAGATCTGCAAAGGCCCCCATTCCCCCACTCTGCACACAGGCCGCCGTCCCACTCCCCGCGCCCCACAAACCCCAGACCAGACCCATCCCTACGGGCCGGACTCTCTGTTCTCCCTCGGCGCCCCTTGCCACGTGCTTCCCTTCGCCTGGAAGCGCCTTCTCCGCCTATCCCCACCGCCTCTGCCACACGCTACCCTCAACTATCTCCCGGACGGCCCCCCACGCCCTCCTGGCACCTCCTCCAGTTTCTTGGCGTTCCCCGTGACAAACACAATCTTCTTCCCCGCCAAGGACGACGCCATGGTGAAGCCCGTTTATCCCGCGGATCCACAGGAAGCTTCTTTGCCTTGAGTCGCAGGACACTTCCGGCTGCCAGCGGGCTGCCGGCGGAAGGGGACGGTGTGGTTTCCGGTCTGGTATCAGCGGGAAGACAGCCTCGGGTTCCCTAGGCGTCCCTCGCGCGGCGGCTACAGCTTGACCATCAGCGCCGAGGGAACAGTGCCCCATCCGCCCGCCAGGGGCTAGAAGGCAGGTAGTGGCGCCGCCCCCCTGCGCCCGCCTTGCTGGGGACCGCGGTGCCATTCCTGAGACGGGTTGAGTGCGCCAAGACCCGTCCCCTCCGCCGGAGGGCGCTTTCAGTGTGCTTGGATCACCGCGCCTCCTCCACCCCCTCCTACGCATGCTTTCGCCCCTCTGTGGAACAGGGACGCTGACGGAAGCAAAGAACCCCCTCGTCCCTACCCTGGGGCCAGTGATGCGCTGCTGCCCTGTGCTCTGGGCTGTTCGCTGTCTCCCCGGGCACCTCTTAAGCTGTTTCGGAGAACTCTCCCTCTGGGCAAGGGACTCCAGATCGGGTGTCCATCCTGACTCCACCTTCAGGCCCGCTCCCCTAGCTTCCTTCCTGCCTGCCGGCTCTGATCTACTTGACTGTGATGTTAAACTTGGCATGCGCTAAGCAAACGCGGTCTTTTTACCCACCTCCCAAGCTTGGGACCTCAGTCCCTTCATCCCATCAGTCTCAAACCCGTCATCCCTTCCCCATACCTACCGTCTAAGCCAGATCTTTGCATTCTGAACACAGCAAGGAGTAGGAAGTGCCCCAACAGGCCCACCTGTGAGACAGGCCTTGGCCTTCCCCTAACATCTCCCTCCTCCCAGGGCTCAACACACGGCTGCCTGGCGCCCTGGGGTCGGTAGTTCCCAAATGGCCCCCTAGGCCCATGAACCAAAAGGGAGGGTCTAATTCTTACCAAGCTCCCCAGGTCATTCTGATGCTTATCCAAGTGTGGCAACCACCCTTTTAGGTGATGACCTATTTTCTGTTACTGAAGCAAAAACACTAATGATCCCCAAATTTTAGGTTAGACTTGAGGAATGGGTGCCCCCCCCCAAGTCATTCGTCTTTCTTCTTCATGAAATCATGGGGACTCCCAAAGAAGGTGGAAGGGGCAAAGGCGGCCTGGCTGTTGAAAGCTTTAGTTACAGCCTCAGGCTAGGAGGAGCTTCTCAGCGATATGCGTGAGGCACCAAGTGTACCACACAGACAGTTACCATATGCTATAGTCAGTGCAATGACCCAACAACCCTGGGTACTAGAGGAACTGCCTAAATTTGGGAGGCCTGGGCAGTCACCCAGTAAGTCATGTGTCTTAGTTATCTAGTGCTACTGTAACAGAAGTACCACAAGGAGGGGCTTTAACAAACAGAAATTTATTCTCTCACATTTGAGGAGGCTAGAAGTTTGAATTCGGGGTGCCGGCTCTAGGGGAAGGCTTTCTTTATTGGCTCTGGAGGAAGGTCCTTGTCTCTTTGAGCTTCTGCATGACCTGAATTTAAGCATGAGGAGAAATAAGACAAACCCAAACGCAACTGGAAGAATATTTTACAGAATACATGTCCTGTAAATCAGAGGCATATTATCCCATAAGCAAGGTAAGCAAAGTAAGCACGGGTTTACTTGTGCTTCTTATTTATCATTTTCTTTTATTGTTGTGCTTTAAGTGAAAGTTTACAATTCAAGTTAGTCTCTCATAAAAATTTATACATAGGTATGTGACCCTAGTTGCTCTCCCTATACTGTGACAGCACACTCCTTCTTTCTACCCCAGATTTCCCGTGTCCATTCAACCAGCTCCTGACCCGCTCTGCCTTCTCATCTCGCCTCTGGGCAGGAGCTGCCCATTTAGTCTCATGTATCTACTTGAGCTAAGAAGCACACTCTTCACGAATATCATAGTCCAGTCTAATCTTTGTCTGAACAGTTGGCCTTGGGAATGGTTTTGGTTTTGGGCTAACAGAGTCCAGGGCCATGTCTTCCAGGGTCCCTCCAGTCTCAAACCATTAAGTCTGGTCTTTTTACTAGAATTTGAGTTCTGCACCCCACTTTTCTCCTGCTCCGTCAGGGATTCTGTGTTGTGTTCCCTGTCAGGGCAGTCATTGGTGGTAACCGGGCACCATCTAGTTCTTCTGGTCTCAGGCTGATGAAGTCTCTGGTTTATGTGGCCCTTTCTGTCTCTTGGTCTAATACTTTCCTTGTGTCTTTGTTCTTCATTCTCCTTTACTCCAGGTGGTTTGGGACCAATTGATGCATCTTAGATGGCAGCTCGCTAGCTGTCATGGATTGAATTGTGTCCCCCAAAAATATCCATCAATTTGGCTGGGTCATGATTCCCAGTATTGTATAATTGTGTACCACTTTGTAATCTGATACGATTTCCTTATGCATTGTAAATTCAATCACTATGATCTAATAAGATGGATTAGTGGCAGTTATACTGATGAGGTATACGAGATTGGATAGTGTCTTAAATTAATCTCTTTTGAGATATAAAGAGAGAAGCGAGCACAGACACATGGGAACCACAAACCACCAAGAAAGCAGTGCCGGGAGCAGAGCATGTCCTTTGGACCTGAGGTACCTGCGCTGAGATGCTCCCAGACCAAAGGAAGACTGATGCATCACAAGGACCTTCCTCCAGAACCGACCGAGAGAGAAAGCCTTCCCCTGGAGCTGATGCCCTGAATTTGGACTTGTAGCCTACTGGACTGTGAGAGAATAAACTTCTCCTTGTTAAAGCCATCCACTTGTGGTATTTCTGTTATAGCAGCACTAGATGACTAAGACACTAGCCTTTAAGACCCCAAATGCCACTTATCAAAGTTGGATGCAGAATATTTTCTTAATAAACTTTGTTATGCCAGTTGACATAGATGTCCCCAGAAAGCATGGTCCCCAGACCCCCATCCTTGCTACTCTGTCCCTCAAAATGTTTGGTTGTATTCAGGAAACGTCCTAGCTTTGGCTTAGTCCAGTTGTGCTGACTTCCCCTGTAGTGCGTGCTGTCCTTCCCTTCACCTAATTCTTGTCTACTATCTAGTTAGTGAATACCCCTCTCCCTTTGTCCCCACCCTCATAACCATCAAAGAATGTTTTCTTCTGTGTTTAAACCTTTTCTTGAGTTCTTATAATAGTGGTCTTATGCAATATTTGTCCTTTTGCAACTGACTAAATTCACTCAGCATAATGCTTTCCAGATTCCTCCATGTTATGTTTCACGGATTCATTGTTGTTCTTCATCGTTGCATAATATTCCATTGTGTGGATATACCATAATTTGTTTATCCATTCGTCCATTGATGGGCACCTAGGTTGTTTCCATTTTTTGCTATCGTGAACAGTGCTGCAATGAACATGAGTGTGCATATATCTATTTGTGTGATGGCTCTTATTTTTCTAGGATATATTCCAAGGAGCGGGATAGTGGGATCGTATGGTACTTCTATTTCTAGCTTTTTAAGGAAGCACCAAATCTATTTCCAAAGTGGTTGTACCATTTTACATTCCCACCAACAGTGTATAAGTGTTCCAGTCTCTCCACAACCTCACCAACATTTATTATTTTGTGTTTTTTGGATTAATGCTAGCCTTGTTGGGGTGAGATGGTGTCTTAGGCTAGGTTCTCTAGAGAAGCAAAACCAGTAAAGTGTATAAATATATAGAGAGGAAGATTTATATCAAGGAAATAGTTCATGCAATTGTAGAGGCTAAAACGTCCCAAGTCCACAGATCAGGGTAGAGGCCTCTCCCAGTTCACGTAGCCACAGAAGCTGGTGAACTCAAGGTCGGCAGGTCGGAGAGGGCCTCCCGTTCACAGGCTGTGAAGGTCAGTGAATTCCAAGATCAGCAGACAAGACCACAAGGTTTCTCCTGATTCACGTAGCCGCAGGGGCTGGCGAACCCAAGGTCAGCAGTTTGGGGAACTGGACTCTTGCTTGCAGGCTGAGAAGTTCGATGAATTCTTAGATCAACAGGTAAGCTGCTAGCTCAAGTCCCACGAACCGGAGGTTAGACAAGAGGCAGCTGCTGAGTCTGGAACAAGCCAAAAACCTTGGCAAGGCGAGCAGGCAGAAAGTAACCGGCCGAAGGCAGAGTGATGAAACTGAGAGGGTGGTGAGCTGCCACAGGACCCGCCTCAGCCGGTACCGCTCAGCAGATTCCATCATGGGGTTGATCACAACATTATACAACTGCTAAAACACTAAGAATAATAGTCTAGCCAAGCTGACGTACAATCTTAACCATCACAGATGGTATCTGATTGTAGTTTTGATTTGCATTTCTCTAATGGCTAATGATCGTAAGCATTTCTTCATGTGTCTGTTAGCCGCCTGAATGTCTTCTTTGGCTAAGTGCCTGTTCATATCCTTTGCCCATTTCTTAATTGGGTTATTTGTCTTTTTGTTGTTGAGGTTTTGCCGTATCTTGTAGATTTTAGAGATTAGCTGCTGATTGGATTTGTTGCAGCCAAAATTTTTTTTCCTAGTCTATAGGTTGTCTTTTTACTCCTTTGATGAAGTCTTTTGATGAGCATAAGTGTTTAATTTTTAGGAGGTCCCAGTTATCTAGTTTCTCTTCTGGTGTTTGTACATTGTTACTTATGGTTCGTATTCTGTTTATGCCATGTATTAGGGCTCCTAGCATTGTCTCTATTTTTTCTTCCATGAGCTTTATTGCTTTAGATTTTATACTTAGGTCTTTGATCCATTTTGAGTTAGTTTTTGCGCATGGTGTGAGGTATGGGTCTACTTTTTCTTATTTACTAATTTGTAGTCAACAATTTCACATGGGTTTCACCACATATTTGAATTCAGGGCACAGGCTCTATGGGAAGGCTTTCTCTCTGTTGGGCTCTGGAGGAAGGTCCTTGTCTCTTCTGAGCTTCTGCTTCTGGGCAATCTTCTTGTGGCTTGGCATCTCTCTTCCCCCATCTCTGCTTCTTTCACTTGCTTGTTTAATGTCGTTTATATCTTGAGATAAACTCAAAACACTAATCCTAATCCTGCCTCCTACACTAATCCCACCTCATTAACATAACAAACACAACCCATTCTCAAATGGGATTATAACCACAGGCATTAAAAAAAAAAAAAAACAAACCCAAACCCACTGCCATCAAGTTGATCCCAACTCATAGCAACCCTATAGGACAGAGTAGAACTGTCCCATAGGGTTTCTAAGGCTGTAAGTCTTCATGCAAGCAGACTGCCACATCTTTCTCCCGCGGAGCAAACCTTGGGTATAGAGGTTAGGATTTACAACACATATTTTCGAGGGACACAATTCGATCCATAACACCATGGGAGCCCATAAAGGGTTATTAAGCAGGGAAGAGCCCCTAGGTGGTGCAAACTAGCCAAAAGGTTGGCAGTTTGAACCCACCCAAAGGCTCCTTGGAAGACAGGCGTGGTGATCTGCTGCTGAAAAGTCACAGCCTTGCAAATCCTATGGAACAGTTCTACTTTGCACACATGGGGTCGCCATGAGTCGAAATCAACTCCATCGCAACTAATAACAGCAACAGCGTGAATAGGGGTCTTTGAGTGGTGCCAACAGTTAATGTGCTCAGCTAACTGGAAGGATGGAGGCTTGAGTCTACCCAGAGGCACCTCAGAAGGAGGCCTAGTGATCTACTTCAAAAAAATCAGCCAATGAAAACCCTATAGAGCACACTTCCACTCTGACACACTTGGCGTTCTCAACTCTAAGGCAACTGGTTTTGTTTTGTTTTTTTAAGTGTGGATGGAAATACACTTTAGATAGGCTTCACTCTAAATCTGAAAGACATGGAGCCCAAAGTCCTGGGAGGGGGCGAGATATGTGAATACCCAAAACTATATGCAAAAGTTTGCAGATGTGTAATCATTATTCAGGACTCTAGGTTGCAGGAGACAGAACTCAGGCAATAACGAGAAAAAGAACCATATTGATAGGTTCCCTTAACTGATAAGATCAGGTAGAGATAGTCTGGTTCTTAAGTGCTCTTAACAGAAAGGGAGGGGATTGCATTAGTCTGTCAGTCACTCAAAATTACGCTGTAAAAACAAACCTGTTGCCATCAAATCAATTTTGACTCACAGTGACCCTATAGGGCAGAGTAGAACTGCCCCAAAGGGTTTCCAAGGCTGTAATCATTACGGAATGAGCTCTTGTGGCACAGTGGTTAAGTGCTTGGCTGCTAACGGAAAGGTTGGTGGTTTGAACCCACCAGCTGCTCCGAGGGAGAAAGATTACTGGCTTAGAAACCCTGTGGGGGCAGTTCTACTCCGTAGGGTTGCTATGAGTTGGAACTGACTTAATGGCAACAGGTCTGGTTTTTTATCAAGCTACAAAAAGGCATGGAGAAAACTTAAATGCACATTGCTAAATGAAAGAAGGTGGTCTGAAAAAAACTACATACTATTATTATTCCAACCATATGACATCCTGGAAGAGGCAACGCTGTCCAAAAACCAAACCACTGCTGTTGAGTCAAGGCTGTAAATCTCTACAGAAGCAGACTGCCACATCTTTCTTCTGTGGAGCTGCTGTCGGTTTTGAACTTCCACCTTAGGGGTTAGCAGTCAGTCGCTTTAACTACTGCACTACCAGGGCTCCCACAACACTATGTTGTTGTTATTATGTGCCATAGAGTCAGTTCTGACTCATAGCAACACTATAGGACAGAGTAAAACTGCCCCGTAGGGTTTCCAAGGAGTGGCTGGCGGATTCGAACTGCCAACCTTTTAGTTAGCAGCTGTAGCTCTTGACCACCGCACCACCAGGGCTCTGACAACACTATAGAGACAGTAAGAAAGATCAGTAGTTGCCAAGGGTTGGTGGGGATGGAGACGAATAGGTGAAGGACGGCATTTTATGGGCAGTGAAACTGTTCTGCATGATACTGTAATGGTGGATACATGACATTATGCATTTTTCAAAACCCATAGAACCGTACAACAGAGTGAACCCTAATGTAAACTACGGGTTTTTGTTAATAATAATGTTATCAATATTGGTTCATCAATTGTAACGAATGCACCACACCAATGCAAGACGTTACTAATAGGGGAAACTGGGTGCAGGGGGAATGATAGCATATGTGAACTCTTGGTACTTTGCATGATTTCTCTGTATACCTAAAACTGCTCTAAAAAAATATTTTAATAAAAATGTGAATTATGAAATATTTCAAACTTACAGAAAATAATAAAATAAATGCCCAAGTTCCCACCATTCCAATTTAATAAATGTTATGATGTTAACATGTTGCCATATATGTTTCAAACCTCTCGCCCCCTCCACTCCATGGCCATGCAATCTTTATTTCTGTCATCACGCACACACACAAAGCTTCATATTACTGTAATAGAAATTCCCAGTAGTTATTTGCTTTTTAAAAAATCCTGAATTCCCATTCTGTTTCCAATTTTTTTTTTTTTTTCAGAACAACTTTTTGTTGTTAGTGGCCGTCCAGTCGGCTTAGACTCATGGCAACCCCATGCACAACAGAACGAAATGTTGCCTTTCCCGGCCATCTTCATGATCGTTCGTGTATTTGAGTCCACTGTTGTAGCTACTGTGCCAATCCATCTCATTGAGGGTTTCCCTTGTTTTCACTGACGCTCCACTTTACCAAACATGATGTCCTTTTCTAGCCATTGGTCTTTCCTGATCATGTGTCCAAAGTAAGCAAGTTGAAGTCTCGACATCCTCACTTCTAAGGAGTATTCAACTTTATTGAGGTATAATTTATCCTCAGTTTTTTTTATAGGCTCTTAAGAATTAGAGAATTTTTTTTTTTTTAAAGTTAGTACACATATTGTTTTCTGACACTGGTTACCAACCCCACGACATGTCAACACTCTCCTTCTCGACCTTGAGTTCCCCTGGGCCAGTGTGCCCCTTTAGTCTTGTTTTGTTTTATGGGCCTGTCTAGTCTTTGGCTGAAGGGTGAACCTCAGGAGTGACTTCATTACTGAGCTAAAAGGGTGTCCGGAGGCCATACTCTCGTGGTTTCTCCAGTCTCTGTCAGGCCACTAAGTCTGGTTTTTTTTTTGTGAGTTAGAATTTTGTTCTACATTTTTCTCCAAGTAGAATGTAGAACATTTTCTTTATAAACTATTTTATGCCAGTTGAGCTAGATGTTCTAAGAATTACAGGGAAATTTAAATTTCCTATAGATATACCAAGTGTTCATTATGGAAAATTGGATCACTAATTACTGTACAACTTAATAATGTCAATATTATTTTTAAAGGTATAAAACTGCAGGTCTGAGTAAACAAAATATATCACTATTTAATTGGAAGATTTGGTCCCTCCTTCTCTCTCTTTTAAATAAATCAAATATCACAGATATAGCCAAAGTTCTCCCCTTAATCCCACCCCACCTCCTCCCTCTCAAGAGGTAACCACTATCCTAAATAGGCGTGTATCATTTCCAAGCATCTTTTTGTACCTTTTCCACATATGTATGTTTCCATGAATACTATGTGGTATTGTTTTGTGATTTTAAAACATACGTAAATGTTGGCATACAGCACATAATCATTTGCAATAATTTCCACTTAACATTGTTTTTCTACGTCCCCAAAACTCACTTCAAAGTAAAAAATTAAGAATTATTTTAAAAAAGAAATTATATAAAGAGTTATAATTAATAAAAAATTTGGTAGTGGGCAGATAGACACTAGACGAATCCGAGACTAAAGCGCTGGGATACCCTTTAAACTTGAAACTCAGACCACTCCTGGAGGTGACCTAGTAGCCAATAGACAGAAGGGCTCATAAAATAAATAACCTCATCTGTGAGTAGTGTGCTCCTCTAAACAATCATCTAAATGAGACCTAAGGTCAACATTCACCCTAAATCAAAGATGAGAAGGTAAGGAGGACAGGGAAGCTATATTTATGGAAACAGAACAACCAGAATGGAAATAATGAAAATGCTGATAATATTGTGAAAAGTATAACCAATGTCACTGAATAACATGCATAAAAATAGTTAAATTAGAACTTAACTTCCTATGTAAATTTTCTCCAAAATCACAATAAAGTATTTTTTTGAAAAAACATATGAAGACATAAAAATAAAATTGGTGAGAAAAAAAAGACAAAAAGTAAAAAATTAAGCTGAGGGTCTGGGCGGGGCCGACCAGTGGGCGGAGTCTAGAAAGGGAACGCGAGGGGCCGCAGGAGCGTTGGGCGGGGCCTGGGAGATCCCGAGCCTCGGGGTGGACGCGCTGGTTCCCTCGGAAAGGTGCTGTCATGCTGGCTCCCGTGGTGTACTTGGTAGCGGCAGCTCTGCTTGTCGGCCTTATCCTGTTCTTGACTTGCAGCCGAGGTCGGGCGACAGCAGGTAGGAGATGCCGCCGAGCCAGGGTCGGTGGGGCCCGGTTCTCTGGTCTCTGATCCTTTTTAGGCCGGCGCACCGCGGCCCTTGCGCATGCGCCCGACTTGCCTTGCGAGCGGGGTGTGCCTGATGGGGCTGACTGGGATCTCGGTGCCCGACCGCTCTAGGGCGGGCTTGAGACAGGCCGTGCGCATGCGCATATGTGTCGCGAAGGACGACGAGAGGGGAACCGCAGTGCTAGAACAAACCCTGGAGAAGGGGCAGCAGCGCCTTACACCTTTCTCCCAGCCCAAAGCCAGACCCTCACCCCAGCCCCCTCGTCTCTGCCTTGCCCTCCAGATCGCCCGTCCCGGGGGGGCCAGTCCCTGGCAGACACCCACTCCCATCCCTCATTCCTCTAGGCTAGTCCCCTCTGTGCCCATTGGGGCCACCCGGGGTTTCTTTCCTCCCAGACTAGCTCCAGAGCGGGTGTCAGGAAGGGGACACCTGAGTATTTTCTGCCCGCCCACAGGCTGGAGGGAGCATGAGGCGGCTCCAGGAAGCTCCCTGCAGTCCTCCCTCCGCCCCCCCCCCCCCGCCCCAAGGAAAGCATCCATGCTGCCTTGGCCGCCTCTCCTCCCTTTTCTGCACCTCATCGTTGCACCCCGATCTGAAGCCATGCCATCCACCAGAACTCAGAGCAGATACACCTGTCATCCTCCTCCCTCCCATTTCTTGTCAGCGTATGGGTTTGTGTATGTGTCTCTCTCCCTCCCTGGGACCACAGGCTGTTTCAGAGCACCTGCGTGCCCCAAGGGCAGGGGAGAGAGAGGCTGAAGTAAGGCATGCAGCCAGCAAGTCTTCTGGGAGGGAGACTCAGCCCCTGCTGACAAGTAGGCCCTCTGGTTGGAATGCCAGATAAAACCATGGCAAACGGTGTGAGGCAAGAAATCAATGTAGTAATGCAGTGAGCATTCGCGTGAGGTCTGGAGAGGCCAGGGTGGGCTTTCTGGAGAAAGTGGGGCCTCAGCTCCATTTTGAAGGCAGGGAGACTACTGACAGGCTAGCCAAAAAGATGGGGCCTTGAGGGGAGAGAAGGTATCAACACAGGTAGAAGGGAAGGGGTGAGCTTGCTACATAGGACCAAGATGTGGGCCTGGGTTGTGAAGGCCTCTACAGTCAGATTGAAAAGTTGGGGCTTTGTTCTTTGGGCAGCAGGAGCCTGGGAGGAGGTTGAGCAAAGGAAGGTGAGTCTTCCAGGATGCTGCCCCACCTGCCGTCAGGTGGGTGAGGCAGCTGGGCAGCATCATGGCTACTGTCTTCCCTGCAGCCAGCCAAGAGTCACAGCAGAATGAAGGGGAGCCGGTTGTAACTGGCCGGGAGGCCCAGTGTGGGTGCCTGGGGCCTGAGGAGCAGAGAGCCGAGGGCAGGCCCCGGCGCCGGAGGGACCTGGGCAGCCGTCTGCTGGTCCAGCGTCGAGCCCAGCGGGTGGCGCAGGCAGAAGTGGATGAGAACGAGGACGAGGCAGTCACCCCAGGTGAGAGGGCCCCAGCCTGGTGAGTAAGGGGGCTGGATTAGGAGGTGGGGGGCCCCCATATCTGGGTAGGGGAGTAAGGTATGAAGCCACAGTGTGGGAGGGATGGCTAGGAGCCACAGGGTTGGGGAGGGTACTTGGGGTCTGGCCTTTGGTCCTAGGGACTAGCAGCTCTGGGCCCTGAACCCCACTCCATTGAGCCAGCCCCCTCTTCCTTCATCTTGGCTGTCAGTGTCTTAAGCAGGAAGGCAGGGGTCCTCAGATTGCTCAGTCTACCGCTTCTATCCCATCACCCTTCTTGGTGTGGGCATACTCATTCCCTGAGGGCCTCACGCTAGAGACAGAGTGCCTGGCTAGGAGCTTCTGCTGGTCCTGGTATGTGGTCATCGGTAACTTCAGAAGAGGGGTTTGAGGATAGAGACATCCTGCTGACTCAGAGGCCTCATATCCCCTGTGCTGGGAGACCAACAGAGGCTTTAGGATTGTGGGAAAGAACATCTCTTCTCCACATACTTGATGGCTGGCTTGAGCCTGAGAAGGGGATATCTAGCTGTTTCTCAGAAACTAGGGGCATTTGGAGCTTTTGCCCTTGTACTCTTGGGGATTAGCCCCTTTGGCTCAAAAAGAGGCCCTCTGTTACGCCACCCCTCCTGCCTCAGACATGGAGTCAGACATCCTGTTGCTCAGGCATCACCTGGTCTTTACCTTTCTGCTGGTCCTAGGATAGTCCTGGGTCAGGGCTATCCTTTTGGCCTGGGCCTGCTGGCAGGAAGGGATAACCCTGGCTGGGGGCTGAGCCCAGAACCGTAAGCAGCTCCTGTCTACAGTGAAGAGGATTCAGGTTTGGCTGGGATAAAGTTCCCTGGGAGCCATCCTTCTCTGGGGGGGTTGTTTCAGAGATGGAAACCTGGGACCTCTGCAAGCCCAGACAGCCTTGTCTATGATACTCAGAGTCAGACATTGGAACCCAGGATCTCCCTCTTCATGCTACACAGCATCTATAGTTCTCATCTGTTCCCTTGTCACATGGCCCACAAACCTTTCCCAACCCCTAACACGTTCACACTCATACACTCACACTCAGAGTGCACATTTCTGCATTCATGGCAAATGCCTCTGGAGGGCAGAGCTGGACTTGTGGTATTCATAAGTGCGTGAAAGGAATTTCTCTGTGAGGAACGGGACATTGGTCCCCTCCAACCAGGGCCTGAAGTGTCTTTCTATGACCATATCCAGCCCAGGAGGAAGAAGGCATTGAGAAGCCAGTGGAAACTCATGTGTCAGGGAAAATTGGAGCCAAGAAACTACGGAAGCTGGAGGAGAAACAGGCGCGAAAAGCTCAGCGCGAGGCAAGTAGGACGGATGGGGTGCAGCTCTGGGAATGGGAAAGTCCTCCCCTACCTGTCCCCTGTAGTGGAACCTTCCATGGGGCTCCTTGCACACTGGGATAAAGTTCCCCAGGGGCCGTCCTTCCCTGGGCTTGCCTGGCTCTGCCTCCTGCAACTTTGGTCTCTGGCCTGGCCCAGGCACTGCCTTCCCCAGCCTCTGAGAGATGGACAAGCTCTAGATGCGGGTAGAGGACGTGTCCCCTATGGAGGTGTCTCTCCTTAGGTGGTGCCAATGGTTAACATGCTCAGCTAACCAAAAGGTTAGAGGTTTGAGTCCATCCAGAGGCACCTCGGAGGAAAGGCCTGGTGATCTACTTCTGAAAACTCAGCCATTGAAAACTCTGTGGTGTGCAGTTCTACTCTGACACACGTGGGTCACCATGAATGAGGGTGGACTCCACAGCAAGCGGATTTTTTTCTCCAGGCAGAGGAGGCAGAGCGTGAGGAGCGAAAGCGCCTGGAGTCCCAGCGTGAGGCGGAATGGAGGAAGGAGGAGGAGCGGCTTCGCCTAGAGGAGGAGCAGAAGGTGAAGTAGACTCCTAACTCTGACCTCTGATCCCTGACTGGGCAGCCCTGCTTCCCATGCAGCCCCCAACACCTCCAGCCTAGAAGATGGGCCACAGACCAGGTGCAGGGCAGGTCCTGGTTTATTTGGTTCCTGGGCCCTAGATGCAGCCTGTGTAAAGCTGGCTGACTTAAGGTCAGGTTTCTGAGAAGCAGAGCCTGGGACTAGGATCCTTGTGCATGTGATTTATTGCACCTGCTTGGATTGAAGGGCATTGACGTGGTCCGAGTGGCTGGAGCAGGGTCAACAAGGAGGAGAGGAGAAGGAGAGGGTCAGCAAGGTAAGGGAGGTCTGGATCCCGAGGGCCTGAAAGCTGCTGAGGCCATTGTAAGTGGTAGTGGGCCCGTCCTGTGCCATGTCCAGCACAGGGCCTGGCGCGAAGAAGATGCTCGGAGTGGGGGCTGCTGCTGTAAAGGTGGTTAATGAGCATTTGTTTGCCAGGTGCTTCCTCTGTTTTCAGCACCAGGTGCACAAGAAAGGGAACATCACAAAGATGTGGGGTATATAGGGTGAGAGCCAGGGCTACCCCAGCTAGGAAGACCCCACAGCTTGGCACCTGTGACTCTGACGGGCACTTGGTGTCCAGGGACCCTGGATGGCAGGCGGCCTGGCCCTGGGTGCTGTAGCAGATGGATCAGAGCACAGCAGAGGGCAGCACTAGCAGAGAGAGTTTTCACCTTTCTAAATTTTGATTTTGCCTGTGTACCTTCAATAGCTATTCTGGGGCTTTTCCTCTCCCCCACCGCCCAGTTTTCCCTATTATTAACATCTTATGTAATAAAATCTGTTTGTCATAAGTAACGAATCAGTATTGATAAGATATCATTAACTAAACTCCATAGTTTATTCAGATTTTGTTTTTTCCCAAAGCCCTTTTTCTGTTTTCCAGAGTCCCATCCAGAATATACTACGTTTAGCTGTCACATCTTCTCAGGCTCCTTTGGGCTGACAGTTTCTCAGACTTTCCTTGTTTTTGATGACCTTGATAGTTTTGAGGAGTGATGGTCAAGTATTTTGTAGAATGTGCCTCAATTTGAGTTTGGTTGATGTTCTTCTCATAGTTAGACTAGAGTTGTGGATTTTTGGGAGGAAGACCATAGAGGTGAAGTGTCCTGCTCAACACAGCATACCAAGGGTACATGCTGTTGACTTGCCACTAATGATGTTAACCTCGATCACCTGGCTGAGGTTGTGTTTGCCAGGTTCCTCAATTGCAAGGTTACTCTTTTTTCCTTCCTTTCCGTACTGTACTCTTTGAAAACAAGTCACTAAGCGGAGCCTACACTTAAGGGGTGGGGAGTTATTCTCCACCTCCTTGAGGGGAGAGTATCTGCATAAATTATTTGGGAATTTTCAGTACAGGAAATTTGTCTCTTTACCCCTGTTTGTTTGCTTATTTAATCGTTATTTACGTCAGTATGGGTTTAAGGATATCTTATACTTTTGGTTCTGTCTAATGTTACATTGTTTATTTTGTTGCACAAATTTTTCAGCTTTGGCATTGGGAGCTCTTTTAATTGGTGCCTGTGTCCTTTTGACCTACCCCATCATTATGTTTTTTGAGTACTTCCTTATTTTCTGGCACTACAAGATGCTCCAGGTTCATCTTATATATTTCCTGCCCAGTTGTGGCTTCATGTGGAGATATTCTGAGGCTTCTGGAAAATGGGTTGGGTTGCGGGGAGACTGTTGGAGTAGGTGGTGGTGGTGGAGTGAAGTAGACTGGTTGAGAAGCTTGCAGGATGTTAAAGAGGGAAAGAAAGATGGGACCTCATTCCTGACCAGGGCAGATGGCTGGATGATTCACCAATGAGGGACCAAGCAAGTAGACCAAATGTGTGGGGAGTGGGTCTTAGGGTCTGTTTTGGGCATACTAAATGTGAGATGCCTGTGAGGCAGCCAAGTGGGTGTGTCACATGGGCAGTTGTGTGTTTGGGAGGAGAGATTTGGGCCGGGGTACAACTGTGGCAGTCACTGGCAAGAATATGGTTGTTGATGCTGTAGTCATGGGCAAGGTGTCCAGGGAATGAGTAAGGAGAGAAGGGCCCCGGGCTGAGTGATGAAGGAGTTGGGGAAGATGGCCCAGGAAGCAGAAGGAAATCCAGGGGACGCTGGGAGGAAGGCGGGGGATGGCCGTTACGCCCAACACCACTGAGAGGACAGGACTAGGAGGCCTGAAGGTATCCCTTCGATTTGGTGAGAAGGAGGGCATTGGTGAGACTGTCACAGGAGTTGTTTTGGTGGAATGGGGAATGTCAGATTGGAGTGGGCTGGAGGGGTGAAGGGTGGTGAGAAAATAGAGCCTGATGTTTGCTCAAGAAGTGTGGGCGTGTTGGGGTAGAGAAAGGAGGGACATTGTGTGGTCAGGTCACGGCAGAGTTTTCAAGAGATTTTTACTAAATAGATCATTAGCTGGGAGGTCAGGAGGTGGGGATGGAGCAGTGTTTGTCTGGGAGGTGATGGAGCTGATGGAAAGAGGGGTCTCTGCCTGCTGTCCAGCTTAAAGGGGACAGGGGTCGAGGCCTTAAAGGTGCTCTGTCCCTGAGAAAGGGCTGGGCTGTATCCTCTGGTGCCCTGCCAGACAGGAGGGACCAGAACGGGGATGTGGAGGGCACCCTGTCCCCACATACCTGACCTGTGCCTCCTCTGTGTCCGCAGGAGGAGGAGGAGAGGAAGGCCCGGGAGGAGCAGGCCCAGCGGGAGCATGAAGAGTACCTGAAACTGAAGGAGTCCTTCGTGGTGGAGGAGGAGGGCGTGGGCGAGACCATGACTGAGGAACAGGTAGGCGCGGCACCCCTGAGAAACCCCTCCCTGCACCCACCGAAGGGCTGGGGGGCTGTGTCAGACCAAGGCTGGCCAGCCCATACCATATACCCGGGTCTAGCAGTGAGAGGTGGGTGGGCATCAGTACCAGCAGACTGTATTGTCCAGGGACCTTGTCCTTAGAATGTGGTGCTGGAAATCTCTCACCATGCAGGCTCTGCTGCCCATGCAGGCAGGTTGTAGGTGGTACCCCCAGGTGGTTAGGTGGTTAGGTAGTACCCACAGTCAGATGGGAGGCACAGACCCTGCCAGGTGCTCACGCTGATTTCTCTGCCCCTCTAGTCCCACAGCTTCCTGACAGAGTTCATCAATTACATTAAGGTAAGAAGCCGCAGAGCGGAGGCCCGGTACCAGCTCCCTGCCCTCACGTGCGTGTCGTGGGTGTTCTCCTCAGGGCCTAGAGGGAAACGGCCTGAGCGGAGGCTGTAGGTGTTTCACTCAGGCGCATGCAGGAGTGGGCAGCGCAATCAGAAAGGCTGAGCTGTCAGGATCCTGGCCAGAAGAGTCCCTTCTTTTCTGACCCTGAAGGTGGAGAAGGACCTGGTCTGTGGGTGGCACGAGCCTTTGTTCATTCCCCATGCTCAGCATTGGACAGCTTTCCTGCTCTTCAGACACCGCGTTCAGTGACTCACTCTGTTTTTAAGCTTTTTCACGTGTATTTCCTGTCAGTTCTGTCAGACTGAAGCTCCATAAGTCACAACAAGCGTCCCCTGCCATGTGGCCCTGACTGGGAACTTGGGTCTTCCAGGGGAAACAGGATGGTGTTTCTTTTGGAATCTAGGGTGGGGTGGCAGGCATGTCCCCTTCTGCCCACAGCCTCAGCGCAGGCGGCCTGGGTGTTGCTCCGGGTTGCATAAGCACATCCTGCTCTGCCTTGCTGCTAAGCAACTTCTCCTCTCCCACGAAGGATGTGTCGAGGGGAGAGGTTTTCAAGTGCAGCTCAGAGGTGCAGAGGCGGCTGAGGGAAGGAGTGCAGAGGGAGTGGGGGCGAGGGTGGGGGTGGTGCTAGGGGGTGCCAAGGAGCCAGGGCTTGCATAATCCTCCCCCCACCCCCACAAAGAGAGCAGGGTTTAGCTGACTCCCAGCAGCATGGGGCTGGGCTCAGCTGGGGGCCGGGGGTTCCTGAGAGGGAGAAACACCGACAGCTTCCAGAGGGTCCTGTTCACTCAGGCTCTGACCATTCCCCCCGATGGAGCCCCTTTGCCCCAGCACATTTAATGGGGGGCTACAGCCCTTGGCAGGATATCGGTGATGATTTCTTGTTGCTTTCTGGAGCTTGCAGTCCCCGCCTACCCAGTGGGTAACAACATGGTTCTAAAGTCCCTCCTCCAGGAAGCCTTCCCGGGTGGATTTAGAGGAGATGGTCAGCTTCAGCGTCCCCCTCTCCTGCAGGCTGGGGCAAAGCTCAGGTTCATGTCAGAGACTCCAGGAAAGGCTCCCTGGGGTGGTTCTAGCCCTGTCTTTTGGTGGCCCTCTGGAGCTGCCATTCTCTGGCGTTCTCCAAACTTCTGGAGCTTAGAGGTATTTCCAGCCTATGCTGGCTGATTCTCCTGGAGCTGCTGCCCTTCCACCTTCCTCCCAGCTCCAAGGATTTCAGAACTGGAGAAACATTTCTGTGCCAAGCAGAGCGTATGCAAGGGCTAGGGAGAGTCTGCTCTTATAGTCCGCTCTCCTTTCTGACTATGGCTGGGGTTGCTTGTTTTTCAGACATGCTTTTGGCCCCAGCAGCACCTTGGGCCAAGTCTTTAGGGACCACATGGAGTGACTCCATGTTCCTGCTCTGAACTGTCACTGAGAGCCCAGTGCCCACTCCCTGTCTTAGTTGGTAGAGGCCAGCTGTCCAGCTCACCTTGTGCTTGCCCACCCCTTGGCCCAACTGCCACTTGCTCACCTCCCCGCTTGCACAGACAGGTTGGCATTTTGAACAGTCACATGCCATCTGCAGCCGGGGAGGTGTCACCGTGTCACTCCTCCCCCGGCTCATTTGCTATGGGAGGTACATGGAAACGCAAAAGACCTTCTCTTGAGTCACATGCTGTCCTGCGGGGGAGGGGTGATGCATGTGTAGGATCTAGCTGAGCTCTCGGCTGCACCCCTGGGAACTGGAGGTTCAGCTGAGGGTGTGAGGGGAGCACCTGGAATGTGGCTGTGTATGGAAAGCGCTCAGCAACGTTAGTGTAGTTATTTTAAGGGTGGACTCAGTGCCTCAGATGGTGTGAAAAGGATGGGTGAAAAGAAGTGTGGGCATGTCAGGGTTGTGGGGAGCGTCGGGCCACCGTGGGGGGCGAGCAAAGGCAAGGCAGGAATAAGCCTCCACCGCCTCGCCTGAGAAACCCTGGCTTCCTTGTCCATAGACTCACCCGTCCCAGCAGCCAGACTCAGCTTAGGAGCCTGAGCTGTATTATGTTCACCATTGTACCCTCCACACCTTCTCAGGGCCTTGTTCTGGCAGATCCTCAGGAAACACAAGTCCATGGTGACAGCTTTTTAAAATAGCTTTTGGTGGATGTCCACCTCTTCCCTTCATCTCCATGTTGCTTCCCGTCCAGTTGTCCATGATGGTAAAAAGATATGGCTCGATACAGGGGCGAGGGGGCAGCTGTGCTCTGCTCGCCACGTGTGAGCCTGTCTCCGAGTAGTCCCCAGGCCAGGGCACGGCCTGTAGGGCAGGTGGTGGTTCGGGGTAGATCCTTCCCATCAAGCAGGGGAGTGAGAATGTATGAGTGTGTGTGTCTCTGTATTTGGGTGGTTGTGAGTGAGGATGTGAGCATTGGTGAGGGGAGCTGGGCTCTCCCACAGGAGTGCACACAGTATTCATCTAGCACCCAGACCAGATCAGAGTAGAATGCAAACCTGTGAGGGATACCAATGCCGAGAGGGATTTCCCAAGCTCACCTCTCTCCCTTGATCTCCCTCTCCTTGTAGCAGTCCAAGGTGGTGCTCTTGGAAGACCTGGCTTCCCAAGTGGGCCTGCGGACTCAGGTAGGCCCTGGAGGGTGGTCCACTATATGGAGTGTGGCCTTGCGGTCTGTGTGACTGGCAGAGGGGACATACTCTAAAGGTGGGGGAATCTTGCTGCCCCCTCCACCCTGCCAGCCAAGAATGAATAGTGTAGGAATCCTGCCTTTCCACTAGATGGAAGAACAGGCAGGGAGGAAAAAAGAAAAGTCCAAACTCCATCACTACCCACCAGCTCCTGTAACCAAAGCAGCCCAAATCCGGTTACCTTGACAGCTCTCTTGAAAGCAGGCTGTAACAGCCTTTATGGCCAAGTACCACTGCTCTGCTCTTGGATGGAAGAGGCTTTTGGGGTGCCTTGCAGGGCCCCAGGACCAGAACTCCTGTTCCCCAGGACTCCTCCAAGGGAGAAACACAGAGTCCTGTTGGGGTGTGGCTTTGAGAAGGAGAGGAGGAGATTAGCTGTGGTGGGAGGAAGGTTGCAGGTGCTTTCCTGGGCTCTGAAAACTGCTCTCCTCCTAGGACACAATCAACCGCATCCAGAATCTGCTGGCTGAGGGGACTCTGACAGGTGAGAGGAGGAGAGGCACTCCAGGGACTGCAGGGGCTGCAGAGACTTGTTGCTAAGCGAAAGCTGGTGCTGGGGGGCAGGATGACCATCCCGAGGTGGGGGTGTGGGTGAGAGGCATGAGCAGTGGGACGCAGTTACACTGAGGACATGCCAAGGCCTGGGGATAGCTGCTGGATGATGAGGGCAGGCGAGGAAGCCTGGTTTGGCTCACCTAGCCAGGATTGGGTGCAGCCAGGATAGGCCACGCAGGCAGGGGAACTGGAGGTTTCTGTGCTGGTTGTGAAGGGGTGGGCGGGCATTCTTAGGACAGGCGAGGAGGGCCCAGGAGGGCTTAGCCCTGCAACCCACATGTCCCCACAGGTGTGATTGACGACCGGGGAAAGTTCATCTACATAACCCCAGAGGAACTGACTGCTGTGGCCAACTTCATCCGACAGCGGGGCCGGGTGTCCATCACTGAGCTTGCCCAGGCCAGCAACTCCCTCATTGCCTGGGGCCGGGATGCCCCCACCCAGGCCCCAGCCTGACCCTAGCCCGTCCCTCTTGGACTCTGAGCTGGCTTGGCCTACCTGGCCAGACATCCTCCTCCCTCCCCACTGTCCTGGGACAGTGATGGCGTGTGGCTGGGCAATTACAGATTAAAGGCCCGTGAGCACTGCGGAGCTTGGTGTGGCTTGGTGTGGTGGAGGCCTGTCCTGGGATCTCAGACAAGGAGGTATAATCTAGATCTCCACATATATCCAAGAGGAGGGAAGGGTCTCTTGGAGGCAGATAGGAAGTCACTTTTTTATCATGTGTTCATGCATCCAAAAAAAAAAAGTATTGAGCACTTTCTGTGTTTCTTTGTGCCTGCAAGTCTAGCCCTCAAGGCCTGGACAAGGTCTTTCTCTACCCTCTCCCCACCCCAATCCCAGAGCAAAAGTGGGGTAGTCTGTTGGGCCATCTCCCCTAACGGGAGGGAGGGGTCACTTTTGAAATACAGATTCCAGAGCCTAGGGCTGAGAACCCCTAGGGAGAAGAGTTAATGAGAAGCTTCAAGGACACAGTCCTAGGAAGCATCAGCCTGTAAGAGGGAGAGAGGCTGAGTCAGTGAAGGAGGGTGTCTGGGCCAGCTGCTAGTGGAGCAAGGAGAAGGAGAGGGGCGCCTGCTGGAGCTGGACATGATTATGCGGTGGAGGGACACTGCTCATACGCTAAATCACATGAATTCAGTTCTTCTTGGCAAAAAGTGGAAGTGGTGTGGGTGGTCCTACCCACTGTTGGATGTAAGGACCATATGCTCGGGCGTGGGTGTTAGCTGGGAGATGTGTGTCTCCTGGAGGGTCAGTCAGTCTTGTGCTTATGGGCTGTCAGTGGCGTGAATATCCTGCTGTGTTGAGGGCGAGGCTCGTGTTTAAAATATGTGTTTTTCTGTGCAAGGTGGCCCCTAAACACAACCACCTGCTTCCTGTAGTGCCTGGTGGAGGAGGCAGCTTTCTGTTCTGGCCCAGAAGGAAACTGTCTGCGCATTTGAGGCCGTAAGCATTGCTAGTAGAACCTACATTCCAAGTAAGATGCGACTCGGAGTAAGATGTGACTCTGCTACTTCTGTCAGCTACAGACCCTTGGCATCACTTGGAGCTGTGAAGGGCCACACGCATGGTCTGAAAGGCTGTCAGGGAGTCCACCGTCTAGTCAGAGAGGGGAGGCATAGACATGGATAACCGCCGGGGGTGGATTGTCCAATAGGCAAGGTAAGCACAGTGCTTACCTTGCTTACCAGATCATATGGTGAACATTTCACATTTTTTCACCACATCAAAGATTCTGCTTCTGGGTACGGCTGGCATCTGTCTCTCTCCCAACCCCACATCACCTTCCTACAGAATCAAAACCTCATAACAAATTTACTCCCTGACTGGGGCGGATGACCCGGTAAGCAAGGTAAGCACATGTTAAATTGTTCACTATAGTTTAGTAAGTAAGCACAGGTAAGCCTGTGCTTACCTTGCTTGTTGGATGATCCACCCCTGAGAACCATATTATGAGGTATATACATAAAATTCTAAAGGGAAAAGAAGAGGTGACTTCAGTTAGATCAGTGGTTGTCAACCCTGGGTGTACATTAGAATCAGTTGGGGAGTGACAGACTGCACCCAAGACCAGTTAAATCAGAATCTCTGGTGGTAGGATCCAAGCATCAGTAGGAGAGTCGAAGGTCAAGAGCCAGAATGGAAGTGGGGGTAGGGTGGAAAGGCAGGTGATAAAGTTGCAAGTAATTAAAACTCTCCCTGGAGGAGGCTTCTTACCAGACTAGAGAGCAGCTCCAGGGTCTCTTCCATCCTTTCCGTCAGCCATCCCCAGCTACAGCCCTCTGGGCAGCAAGATGGCTGTGGCAGTCTCAATCCCAGCATCCCCACCTCAGGACAGTGCCCAAAGTCCAGAAGGGAAAAGGGCATATTCCTTCCTTAAAAGTCTCCTAAGATTCTTTATGTCCCAGGGACTCAATATGGAGTAAAAAACCTACAACTCTTTATGCATTGTTTAGTGATTGATCTATTAATCTTATAAATTTATCAAGTGAACAGTTCATCAAATAATGAACATCTTTCTAAATATGTCCAAACTGCTTTCACAACTAGCAAATGAAAACTTACAGGTTTAACAACTTACAGTTTCCAAACATTTAAATGTTGTCAACTTAAATGCTTCTAAGTATTTAATTAAAATACCCAAGTTTAATATAGGAAATTATTTTAAATGCCTTAGTATCTTAAGACGTAGACCAGACATACATAGTATTATACTGGTTGCATACTGATGTACACATGTAACACTAAAATTGATTATAAACATGAATACCATTAATTTACATTTGTTAATTTATTAGCACTGTTTTAATTTTTATTCCTTCCTGAGGGACAGTTTCCACTTACCCTGGAGCACCCCGCTTACTGTCTGAGGTGGCTGAGGATGTAGCTCTGACTAGCAGACGATGATTCAGAATCAGGGACCGAGGGCTTCATTGTGATTCTGCCTGAGTCCTTTACCTCTTGAGAAGCCTCCTTTTCAAAATGAGATTCTCCCCCCCTACATCAGGAACTTCTGACTGTTGGCTCCAACCAATCAGATAAATTTTGATTTGTGTAACCCCCAAATGATGCGTGTTCTGGGTGCCTTATCTTCACAGCCCAGCCCAGCGTAGGTCTGTTTTGATCACTTGCTCCCCGAAGAATACAGTCTGGTCCAGTCACAACTTCTCTTTTTCATGGGCCATCAAGACCTATGTAACTGACAAGCTCTGAGAGCCATATAATACAACTTATCTTTTAAAAGTTTATTTATAAGATTGGGCTTGGGTTGAAAGTTATGAAACTGGATAAAGGGGACATGAGAGTTATACTAATCTATTTTTTCTATGTGTTTAAATTCCCTATAACAAAAAGTTTAAAAATAAACACGTGAGCCCTTGATGGTCTTATGTATCCTTGGCTCATGCTAAGCCTCAGAAAACGGGCTAATAAAGCTGGGCTGTGTGAAGCCACCAAGTCATTCATTTATCCAGCAGTTGAGTGACTCTCCCGGGCTACCACAGTGGTACTGGCACAGGCCACATGGTAGATCTTCAAAACAAAAGTTATTAAAATCAAAAGTGTGTTTAAAAATATGCCTTAACATAATCTCTGGAGAGCCTGCTTAATACAAGGCACTATGCTAAGCACCGCGAGACACTATAGGGAGCAAAACACGGCCCCACCTGCAAATGGCAGGGGTGATGGTGGTATTAATCTCTAACAGGGGAGACTGACCAATCACCCAGCCAACAAATGAACATCAGAATGCCCCAGTATAGGAAAGGGACGAGCAGCAAATAAGAAGAGGTCTTCCAGGTTAAGAGGATGGCAGGTGCAGAGATCTGGAGGGGAGAATGAAGGCCTGTGGTTCACTGAGGGGGCCATGGAATGTTGGGTGGAGGAACGGGAAAGCCCCAGGGCAAAGGGAGAGACAAGGGTGGGAAGGGCAGTGAATGCTGAGCCCAGAGATTTGGGTTTTATTTGGTGAGCCAGGGTGACAGTAGGGGGAGAATGTTTAATGTTTAGTGTTTTGAATCAGTAACTAATTTCTTCAACTTTTTTTTCAATTATTATGTCCCACAAATTGTCTCTATTTCATCAATACCTCCTTCCATACCTCCGTTGTATACTCAAGTGTACCACCTCAAGCCTTCGTGAGTGCATGCCCCAGACAGCTGTAGCCCCAAGACTGGATACTAACTATTCCACTAAGACCATGCTTTTCTAACTTTTTTCACAGCATCTCTTAGTAAGAAACCCATTTTACGTTAAGAACTCAGTACGTGTGTGTATGTATACATATAGGTTAACCAAAGCAAAAGTCTCACAAAACAATTCTTCATGTATCACGTTTTTGATGCACATTGATATTTTCTTCTCTAATCTGTTTCATTGCTTATGGTGACTAAATTTATTTTACAACCCACTAACAGGTCTTGACCTACAGTTTCAAAAACGGGGTTCTGAGGAGGCTTGTTCCTTTTCTATTGAGAACAAGGCCAAGGATCAGTATCTGGGTGAAGAGTTGTATATCATAGGTAACTTTTGATAGTCATACAGTTGTACAACCAGAAGCAATTTAGACTCCAATAGTGACATTGTATAACATTTTGACTTGGTTCGTTCTGACACCATGCATAATTTTTGATTGGTTGATATATTATTTAATTTGATTAGTCGTTACAACAAAATCTGTAAGGAAACCTTAACAAGTGAACCTACCAAATACGGATACTCTAACATTAAACTTATTTAAATATAACCTCTTGCATCTAACTTGCTAAATGTACTCTGACTGGTTTTAGTCACTTTAACTTTCTTCTATGATTTTACAGTTGGACTTGCATTTCTAACATATGATACACAAGAATATATCCCTAACAATAACAACAGGACTAAAACTGTTAATCTTCCAACTGTATTGAGGAACTGAGGTTTAACACTTCTGTTGCTTTAAGAGATTTTCCTTTAGCTATTTCTCTCATCAGTTTTCCCTTTGCTTTTATTTTTCATGGGCCCAGTTTGTGTGTGTGTGTGTGTGTGTGTAAGTCAAGTCACTTTGTTCTTGAGTTAAATCCCATAGCATAGTTCACATAACAGCGTAGTTGTGTGGGAACCTGCTTGATGTCCATAACAAAGATAAATGCCATAAATGCCATAGTGAGAAATTATTAGACATTTAATCTATCATCATCAGGAAATTTTCATTTTTTCGCATCTCAGTTACTGTCCTTGCTGGGTGGCATCAACTCAAGAAAAACTGGCAAATGATAGGTGAAGGGCACGTGGGAACTGTCGACCCCAATATCAGGTAATATAAGTTTCATTTAGCCACCACCTTATCCATCTGCAATGGTCATATAAAAAGTTTATAAGGAAGGCTTTTGGCTGGATAAGTTTACCGCAGCTTTAACAAAAATTAAAATTTGTGGTAACGTTTTTAGAGTCTGCATGTTTTCCTTAAAATGATTAAAGATCTGAACATGACCATGAACAACACTGTGATAAATGGAGAAAATATTAAAGTTGTCAAGGATTTCATTTTACTTGAATCCACAATCAACGCCCATGGAAGCAACAGTCAAGAAAGCAACAGATGTATTGCATTGGGTAAATCTGCTGCAAAAGACCTCTTTAAAGTATTAAAAAGCAAAGATGTCATTTTGAGGACTAAGGCCCGCCTGACCCAAGCCCTGGTATTTTCACTCGCTTCGTATGCATGTGAAAGCTGGACAATGAATAAGGAAGACTGAAGAAGAACT